AACAGAGGTGATCTCTCAGGAAAGTTCCACCAGCCAAGGACCCACATGTTGAATCTCGTCTACTGGACATCTTAGGGTTCATGTGGTTGTCCTCCATGAAAATTGGAGAGGAGAATGTTTCAGAGATTTCAACTTCAGCAACATTTCTGAGACTTCCTTTCTGGTATTGGAATGGCTGGGGAAAAGTTCCACAAGTCATCACCTCTGTTTTTTGTTTTGGGGAGAGAAGAAATTGCTAGAGGCTGCCTTTGGCCTCATGCTCTGAGGTCTTCTTCAGCAATCAGTAACAACAGAGCATTTAATTTTTATTTTCAAAGTAAGGGCATCGAAGTACATAGGGGAGCTTGCAGGAAAATTGGGCCTATAAACATTCAATGAATCCAGTGTTAGAACTCCAGTGAAATGTTCCAATATATGGGAATAGTCTAAGTGGGGGATTGCTCTTAGGACAGATATCAGGTATCTGGGAATTTGGCTTGTCACAAGAGCGGTTTCTCTTCATGCAAGGACCTCTTCTTGAAGAGGTCACTTTAATTGTAATGCTCCATGGCCAGAATTGCAAATAAGAGACCAAAAGTATTTATAGGGTCCTTTGCTTGAAATGCCATCCCAAAGCATCCTCCCTCCAAAGTGCCTGGGATTTAAGAAGCTGGGAGTAGCCATAGAGGGAGGGTGGTTTTAAAGCCCTAATGAACATACCCTAAAATTGCACATGAATCTTGACCAAAAGAAAAACAAAATTGGAAACTTTGGGTCCCCCACTGTGTTTGAGGCCCCAACACCATAAAACCTCTCTAGGGAGAAAAGAGCAGAGTGTTCTTTTTCCTTTCGTTCTGTTTGATGGTGGACTAGGGAATCCCTGGATGGGATGTCTCGCTGCTAATACTTGCATTGATGGGTCCAAGGGAAGATGGAGAATGATTCTGCCAGACACTTTGGCAACAATACGATGGGCTTCTTTGTTTTCTCTTTCAACTTACTAAAGTCCAGAAGACATTTCCACAATTTCCACTGGAAATTGGACTGACTGAAAATGAGGATGGTTTCATTAATGAAGGTAACTTTCTTTTGTAAACATTAAAGGTGTGTGTGTCTCACCCTTTTTCCCCAGGCAGGTGACTTAACAGTAGAGAAGCTGTGACATCTTGACTCCCACTGCTGTTTAGCCAAGGATGAACAATAGATGAAAAGGACTTTCACGCTATCGCAGATCCCTTCATTTGTCCCATCTACAACTTTCAATTATTACATGTAAACGTTGTAGTTACTCTGTTCTACCCTTCTGACCTTAAAATAGAATAAATCCTGATATTTATGCTTTTAAATCCTTAGATTATCTTCATCACTTCAAGGATGGATCTTTCTGCTATTGAACTGCAATGTTGATGTTCGAAGATGGCGCCGAGGCTACGTGTGTTGTGAAACAGATGCAAACACTGGTCAGTTTTATTATGCTGCAGCAGGTTGATGGTGTGGAGTTGGATTACGAAATGCTTGAGTTTTGGCAAATCTGGGTTTTTCCTCTATTGAGTATATGATTGATGCTGCTTTTTTGTCACATGGTTGTCTCTCTTCTTAAGCCATGTAGCAGCTTTGGACAGGAATGGATGTGGTGCCTGGAACTCACCTGGTTTCTTCAAATGTTGCTGGCTGGACCATCCTCTCTCCAGGCTGGAGAAAGAATCAAAGACTCTGCGATTCCACAGACTCCCCTGACAGATGGAATAGAGGTGATAAATTGTTATTTTTTAAAAAAATCAGCTCTGTAATTATACAAAGAAAAAGGCCTTTTTATGTCTAATGGAAGAATTACTAAGGAAAAATAAAGAAATAAATCAGCAGTGCTTCTTCCTATCAGCTGATCCCTTTTCCTTCTTGCAAACTTTTATTTCAGTTTAATCTCTCAATGGAAGAAACAGAAGGCTTTCTCTGCTGGGACCCAAATACTAGCTGTTTTACTGCAGAATCAGCAAGCCAGCCCAGAAAGTCGTATTCTAGGTAAAGGTCTTGGGAGGAAAGCTTATTCTGGTCTAGAGATGATTCACTCCAATTTCACATGGGAAGAGCAGAGCCTGGCTTTATCCCTTGGAGAGGGGTTGGCAAGGGGCTTGTGCCCGTCTCCAGCCTTTTTGCTCAACCAGGAAGGTCACTGAGTAGAGAAGCAAGCAAAGCAGTGTGGCTTCTTTTTAAAGCTCTTTAAAATGACACAGGAAGAAGAGTCTTCTATATCCAATAGTACAGTAGAATGTAAGCTAACAAAAGAAAACCAAGAGTGATCCAAGTTCGTCTCCATTTTTCTTTACTTCTTGTGCACGATTGCCTTCATGTTCTATGCCCAGCTTAAAAGATCTTCCCTGACTGCAGTTTCATGGCCCAACTCAAAACATCACAGATAATTCTAGGCAGCCCTAAATCTGTCAAGATCTCTCTCCTTCCAAAGGGAATCCAAGACATCCACAGCTCCAGCTGGAACTGTGCTGAACCTAGCCAGGACCAGAAATGTTTCCAAAGGGAGAAGAGAACAAGAACTAGAAGAGAAGAAAGCTGTGTAGCTACTGTTCAGTGGTCAGTAGTCCTAGGCTGCATGCAGGTCCCTAAAGAGAGACTAACCATGAAAGAACAATTTCCCATGTCATTTATAGGATATTGAAAAGTAGCTTAGGATTCCTGGAATGCTGTTAGTTAGGGGAAAAAAAATATTTAATTGAAATAGGGAAGGAAAGTGAAAACTCATGAACAAGAATGAGCAACCTAGTGTTGTTCAGAAACGGACTATCTCTCAATGATTTCATATTTGTTTTCTGACAGCATCCCAGAAAACCTAACCTACTTTTCAACATTCTATAAATGACGTGGGAAATTTATGATTCTTTAATGAAAGCAGATAGATGAGCCAAAATCAAGATGTGGGAGACATTCTTCTTACCCTATGTGAAATCCATAGTCCCCCATGGAATTTCTACACTACTTAGTGGGGTACAAACATGGATCTCCTCCATATAAATGATTTGGTTATGAAAATTTCCTGTGAAGCTCCTCAGGGATGGAGCTAATTTAATATGAAATTCTGGAAAGAAAGTCAGGGTTGCCATCTAAAAGTTTCTCACCTGCTCAGTCTTTCTTTGAAATCTTTGCAGAACACCTCTTTTTCTTCAATTATTTCAAGATGTTAAAACTTAGGCTTTTCGTTCTTCATTTGATTCTTCTGTTTCTGACAACTTTGAAATTACCATTTTCTGTAAATTATGAAAACAAGACAGAAATTTTCCTTTTTTTACTTGAATCACCAACTATAACTAAGATCTTAATTTTTTACATTCCATTATACTTATTTTGTCTTACACACACACACTTATATGAAAGTAATATTCCTTTTATTCAGTATCTTGTTTATATCTGGTCTCAAGATTCTAATAATTAAATTTTAATTCGAAAGAATAAGTCAGGATTGCTATCTAAATATTTTTCACCTGTTCTTTAAGATTATTTTCTCTCAGGAGTTCCGCCTTCTCCACTTGTTCTTGAACTTTACAAATGAGGCTTTGATTCTTCATTCTGAGCTTGTCCATCTGCTCATCTAAAATATTTATTCTGTAAAATATCAAGAGAAGAGTGAAACTAGCCCCCTTAGGTTTTTACTTGAATCATCAAATTTGTTTAAAACTAATTAAAATACCTGGTCTTTTGCTTGTTCTACATAGTCTTACTTTTTAATAAATTTAGTTTTGCTATTTCTATTACAACAGCTAGCAAGTTTTTCATACAAGAACCAATACTGGAATGATTTATTGGGTACTTCAGAAATCCTCAGTAAATCTTTCAAGAACAAAACTATACCTATATTATATTCTTAAGGGTGGTGTGATACTAATCTCTTCAGTATTAAGGTCAACATCACTATATTTAAGAGTTTGATTATTTAAGTTCAAGTTAATAACTTTTACTTTTAGTATTTAGCATTACATAATCTATTACTACCACAAAGGAATTTCTTAAATCTTAATTTTAAAGGTCTAAGAGATGCCCTGTGATCTATGGGCTCATCTTTAAGGATGGGTTTCCTTACCAGGATCCTCAGCACCACCTTCAACAAGGAGGGAGCTCCTAATGGGTTGGCTTCACTTCAAAAGCTGAGCACACATTTAAAGACAGCCCTGTTGAATCTACAGTGTATATATATATATATATATATATGTGTGTGTATGTATATATATATATATATACAAGCTTGAAATTTGGCACGTAGGTTCCTCTTGGCTTTTAGGTGCTCACTAAAAAAGGAATTTTTGAAATAGCCATCAGATCATTAGTATTTCTTAAACTATTATTAACATGCTCTGATGCTAAGGCGTTAAGATGTTCTACTCCCCCTTCCCACCTGAAAAAAGCTCTGATGCTAAGGAGTTAGACTGAGGGAGAGAAGGAATAGGAGGGGATCAATGGGGCAAGCCTGGGGGAGAGGAGAGAATCAATGGGGCAAGCCTGGGGGAGAGAAGGGGATAGGAGAGGATCAATGGGGCAAGCCTGAGGGAAAGAAGGGGAGAGAATCAATGGGGCAAGCCTGGGGGAGGGAAGGGGATAGGAGAGGATCAATGGGGCAAGCCTGAGGGAAAGAAGGGGAGAGAATCAATGGGGCAAGCCTGAAGGAAAGGAGAATCAGTGGGGCAAGCCTGAGGGAACGGAGAGAATCAATGGGGCAAGCCTGAAGGAAAGGAGAATCAGTGG